CCTTCATTCCTTCCTTCCTTCCTTCCTTCCTATCTACCTATTTTGCTTATTTGGTTTAATTTTAGCCTTAATAATAAAATGTCTAAAAAGTCAACTTTGTCTATAAGTTTCTTCAAACTCTAGTACACATACGTCCATCATCTCAAATCAACTTCTCTGGCTTATGATTTTTATTACGCTCTCGACAGGAATTCGTGCAATTTATTTTACGAGTTTTTGTTCACTGAAACAGGTTTTTGGGGCGTTTTCTAGTCCATTCTCTGAACCATGAAAGCGGAGCATTGCGAAGGTGGCCTACACTATTCCTTCTATATTTTCCCCCTTTTTGTTCTCCCCTTTCTTCTCTGTCTCTACAACTATTATTCTTTCCCTCTATGTAATGGTGCCTCAGGTACTGTTCTTGGCACAAATATCTTGACACATTTTGAATCTTCATTAGGCGGAATATGCAACAATTCAGTGTCAACTAAATTGAGAGTGATATTGTGCTTGAACTTTGAAGAAGCCATCGCATGTGACAAAATGGGTGGAACAAAAGTTAGCGTTCACATTTGAAATATATCATCTCTCTGGTATCTCCGCCTTCCCTATCACAGGCATATACATACATACACAGGAACCCACATCATCAAACACACGTTCAGCCATTCGTTTATGCGCTATTTGAAAACCCCATCTAAGACTAAGCAGAAATGTTATCAAGGCTCTCATGTGTGTGTGTGTGTGTGTGTGTATATATGTATATGATGGTTGTAGCAACAATGTATGAAATATTTTCCATTCAACCATAATTTCTTACGCCCTTTTTCTCTGCCCTCAATTTGAAGTTTGCAAGCGCCAGCGGAGGCGCATTTTTCATCTCGTACACGAAATTCTCTTTCTTGCCGGTCGGCCTCTTCTCCACCCGAGTAACTTATTCCAACCTGGAATATCATCGGGTCATACCGTATTTATTTTCTTGTGAGATATAGTTCGGGCTCCAACTGCTTTTGTGTCCTTGCACACTGTCTGAGGGTCTCTTAAGCCAGGATTCAAGACCGACCTGAAGCCGATGCCATTGACTCGCTGGAAGGATCAGAGGCCCGAGTAAAACATTTCGGGCTTGCCGAGACATGGAAATTCCAAGCGACTCAGAAAACAGGAGGTCTGAGGCGTCATTTCGGGCAAATCCCACAAGTTTTTCACCATTCTTGAGAATGGCACCAAGCAGCATAGACTGGCCGGGTTTCAGAGAATCCCTGAACTTTTCACTTTGAACTAAAAAAGATTTGGAGGAGATTTTTAAATTGACCCGCTCGACTATACTTATTC